CACCCACCCTGCTGCAGCCCACAGCCAGCCCCCGCTGCCCAGCCGCCACCTGGCACCCAGCAGATGCTGCTCCCGCACCCCCGAAAGCTTTGAGCGTTGCCCACGTGCACCCAGACAGTCCTTCTCTACGCCGCGTTAGCCGCACAGCAGAACTCTGCAGTTCTTCTTTCTCGTAATTCCCTATGGAGAACTGGCAAAATTCACACAAACCTGTGTTTTCCAGAAAGCAGATTTTGGGTGGGAGAACATGTGAAAAGGGGAGTTGGTCCATTCAACTTTTTGGGGCACATCAATACAGAAAGACAGTATGCCATCCAGGCTTCAACAGATCTGGTGGCAGAATTAGAGTAAGGTACAATTTGGCTTACAAAAATGGAGAGATGCAACTGAAACATAACTTTCAATGGAGAAAAATGGAAAGGAAAATTATATTTAGAAGTACTGTGATTTCTATAGGGCAATGTTTTACCTTAACTAGGCACCCTGAGTTCAAAATCTAATCGTCCTACCTTCAAGAAATCTGAAATACAGAAAACTGGAGATACGTGAGAATTACATGAAAGGATGTAGAGAAGTCTACAGTTGTTTAATTTATGGAGGGATCACAGAGAACTTATGATAGGAGTAGAGAAAATATGAAGTGAGATAAATAAATAGTAATGTAGGTAGTAATGTAGGTAGCCAGTAAACCATTTCTCTAACCATTTCTCCTTTTCAATACCTGTTTCTCACGGCGCAGGAAAGCAGGGTGCATAGGCAAAACTGATTGCATGTTTTTCTACTCCAAGTCTGTTCATAATTAACAGTGTAATGACAAAATTTCATGGAGAAACAAGAATGTATGAAAAATTAAAACACTCATAATTAAGTCCTGTTTTGAAAGCCTGTCTGAAGCATGAAAATAGCACCCTGGTTCAGAGCACAGCCAATCTCTCTTGGCAACCTCTCAAAGTATCTAAGATGGACACGACAAAGGTGGGATGACGAACTAGAGAGACCAGTGATTCCTCCTCTCTGTCGCCTCTTCCTCTCTCACCACAATTTTTTTTTGGCAGAGTAAACAATCAGAATCAGTGGAGAAATTCTAGAAATTGAGCATAAGACTTCCAGCAACGTGTCTGCAGGAAGCAGCACGGGCTCCCGCAGAGGAAGGGCAGCTACTCACAGTCCAGGATGACCTGCGCCGCGCGGTACAGCTGCAGCCCTTGCAGCAGGTCCAGCAGCTGCTGCACCGTCGCCAGCCTCACTCCCCACCACCACATCAGCTCCCTGGTTATGCTGATCCCCGTCTTCTCCATGCACTTGATTTTCCGTAGCTCTGTTTGATCAGTTATCACATAGGAGGCTGGTGGGAGACAATGGACATTTCTGTTTAAAAATTAGGAAAAATGAGCAAGTGCAGGCAGGGAAAGTGAAGGTGTGAGACACACCTTGCTTTTTCATTTGCACACTTCTAAAAGGAAGGATCACAATAAACTAGATATGAGGACATGAAGAAAATTTAGTTCCAAAAGTGTGGTACTCCTTCTATTCCTTCACCTATTCTGGAAAAAACGTTATAGAAGAGATCCCAAAAAACCCAGTCACACTTTTCAGCATGTTTTCCCATAATCTTCCTTCACCTTCATACTTTGTACCAAAATCACTTCAGGTCAGACTGCTGGTGTGATTCTCCCAAAATAGGTAACAGAGGTCAATGGTGAGACTGCTCTCCTGTCTACACTACCAAACACCAATATTATGGTAAGCCAAATAGCAACTGTATCACCAGGGTGTTGTTTATAGAAGATAGGCTGCCAGTAAAATGAAGCTGTTTTTAGAAGCAGGTGATACCAGGCTGGGGCCAACCCCACACAACCTGCCCCGATTCCGGAACACACACAGCACCCTGGTCACCCCTTCCTGCTCCTCCCAGCTGGCTCACCAACACGGACCCCACTGCCCCCTGCTCAGCTCCAGCCAGGTCCAACACACCCGGCCACAGCCTGGCACAGCAGCAGCCACAGCCCCTTGGGCTGCAGGAGCGTGAGGTGACGGAGCCGTACAGCCTCAAACGTGTCCCTTAGGGCTGTGCCACAGCAGAGGGGCTGGGGAGCGAGGCCAGGACGAGCTGTGCTGGCACAGCGGTTTGCAACACACGGTCACCTCTTCCCTGCGCCCTGGGGTTTTGTGTAAACTCTGGGGTTTTGTGTAAACTTGGTGGTGCTTGTCTGTGGTCTCTGGGGGCTACTGGAGCCTCCTGTGGAGGGACCTGTCTGACTCAGCCTCTCTCAGCTGGCAGCGCCTGGTGTGCTCCCCGCTCAGCCCAAGGGGCAGAGGCGTGGGGCAGGGTGTGTGTGGAAACAGAGATTCCCCAGGTCACACCTCAGCCGGCTTCAGAAGCGCATCAGGCACACAGCTTCCCGCATCTGGTTATAGCAGAGATCACTCTCACACTAGGTCACCCAGTTTAACTGGAGTAGGAGTTTACAGTCAAGTCTTGAATGAAATCAAATCACGCCACATAAAGGAGGGTGGGCCAACTAAGAAAAGATTCAGGTTAGAATTATTTGGACTAGGAGACAGAGGGAAAAAAAATAATTGAAAACTCGGGGACTACATTTCTACACTTATTAACTAGATGTGGCCAGGACTGAGAAAAACAGGGGCACTAAGCATGAAGGAATATACATGAAACGAAGGAAGAAACTGAAAAACAGGGCATCTAAGCACACGCGAGGGATGTTACGAAAACAGGCAGACACGCAGCAGAAGATACCGTGCGACCGGAGAGGGACCGTGAAAGACCGGAGAGAGCGAGGGGCGGGAGCCGGGCCGCCCGGCGGACGCCAGGGCAGAGGGAAGTCTGGAGTTCC